GTTGGCAGCGCACAATAAGCAAAAGATTAATAAGGCACCTGCCCTCCCCTTTCGCAAAAAAGGTCGTGTTTTGTGTTTGTGATTCATGGCACTGGTTTGGTTAAAATGTATTGTTTCGGATATTTTTTAGCAAGATTTCATCAATTCTTGTCGCGTTTTATTTAATAGCAATGCAATAGTAACTCTGGCTTTGATAAACGATTGTAGGTCATGACCTACGTCGACAACTATTCTGAACACAGAAAATGAATCAAATTAAAACAACCAATATTTATTTAATTTAATTCACAGAACAGGCCGAAAGCCTTACCCAATAAACACTATAAACCATTTATTGCCATGCGACAAGCAGGCCGACTTGGATTTGAGATATTTTACAATACTGTTGTCAAACCTTAAAATGTTTCAACGCTAATTATAGCTTTGTAGTTCATGAACTACACTAAAGCAAGGTATAACGAGGCATATTTGTAAGATGACCAATAATAAGATGCAGGATCAGGTACGCCTTGCCACAGCTGATGACCATACGATAGTAAGAACAGGATTGCAAGTAGTGCTTGAACTAAAATTCGGTATCGGCAATATTTATGAAGCCGCATCCTGCGCGGAGACGTTAAGCATACTCAAAAAACACCAGCCGACACATCTCATCGTTGACATGATGTTTAAAGATGGGAATGTGATTGAAATTTTACCAACGATTAAGAGTCTGGCACCAGACCTAAAAATAATGGTGTACAGCATGCTGCCAACGGAAATATACCTACCAACACTACAGCGGTTCGGTATCAACCATTATATGCCCAAAGACTCCACACAGGAAGAAATTATTACCCAACTTGGAGCATTTATCAGAGGATACGGAATTTATGGAACTCAGGAAGTGATTGAACAAATAGTGATCAATCCCTTCGCAAGTTTATCGCCACGCGAATTTGAAGTATTACATTATCTGCTCAGCGGTGAAACATTGGGCTTTGCTGCCGCGGCACTCAACCTTCACAAGAACACAGTGTTTACCTTGAAGTCCCGCATCATGGAAAAGACGGGCGTGAAGAATCTTAAGGGGCTGATAGACATGGCAATACTTCATAATTACAAGTTTAACTGATCATCATTGAAACTATTCCTTTATTCCCTTCTGATAATACTAAAGGGTGCTATAATTACCCACGCGCAGCTTGGCTATACGCTACAGCATTTTACCGGCAATAATGGGCTTCCTGTAAATGGCGTAACGGCACTGGAATGGGACGATAATCGCCAACTACTCTATATAGGAACTCAGGCAGGCATGGTCTGTTTTGATGGACAGCATTTCACTTCGGCCAACGGTGATGAAGGGCGCATACTTACCTTATTTACTTCGTTCGATAAATCAGGGAAGCATATTCAGGCACTTAATGACAACCTGAGCGTATATGAGTTACAAAGTACACACGCTATTTTTAAAGGAAAGTATAACGATGATTTGTACCGCATAAGAAATGTAGGAGCGCGGCCTGATAGCATGAAGGAAGTAATGATGCTTATTAAAAACAGGCGTTCTTTTTCCGTCTGGCCGCACTGGATTGTCCCCTTTGATACCGCTGCGAATGCGGCTTTAATAGCATTGGGCCACCTCTATTTTAAGGACGGGCAAAATGAAATTAAATTGCGCCTACTTAGCAACGATGCAAAGATTATCAAAGCCGGCAAAAATGCATGGGTGATTGACAGCAACAAGATTTACTTGTTTAATGCAGAAGATAAAAAACTACGCAGCCTGACGATTAGTGGGCTTGCCAAAGGGGCCAGCGAGTATCATTTTCTGGAGAATAATTCCAATTATCTTATTGCATGGGGGAATGGTCGCGTGTATGAATTGCAACCTGATGGCATTAACCTGAAAGCATCCCTGCTCTGCGAAGGCTTGCCTTCTGCCACCAATATAACTGCTATGCGCACATTGGGCACAACAGGTTATATTGCATTGGGCGATGCCGGCAATGGGCTGTACTTATTAAAAAAAACCTCTGTCACCGCATTAATCACCATTCAAGGCTACCATACGCCCGTGCCCTGGATTACATCCGGCCAGGCTTTGCTGCCCGATAATAATATTCTTTTACCGGACGGTTTAATTATTACTCCTAACGGACAAT